CCCAACCAGGGGCTCCTTCTTGTGGAGTGGCTTCGCTGTTCGAGTGCTTCGAAGGCCTTGGCAATCAGGACGTCAACATGACAGGGTTGCCCCACGTGGCAATCACAAGCGATTCGCTTCCCCATGAGTTGGTGCAAGTCATGCGAGCTAAGGAACTCCTCAATGTCGGCAATGAACATCAACAGAACCGCAACTGGAGTACCATCCCTTCCAACCTTGAAGGGATTGCACCACTGTGAGCAGGGCAACCGGTGCCGGAAATGCCCGTGGCCTGCATAGACCACATCTTCAGGCAGGCCTTGCTCTTTATCCCAAACGTCCAGCACCTGAACACGAGATGGCAACTGCTTGTATTTCCCATGTTGTGGGCTGTACCCACATTGGATGGCTGTGGGGATCATGGCATCCTCCCTGAACGTACTTGGTGGGAGTTCCAACCAACCTACTCTATCCCCAGCACATTCGATCTTGGGCATGCTGCCCAGCCTCAGGATGGCAAATCCTTGCCGAACAGCCCAGTAGCTTGCTGCCACGGCCAGACTGAAGCTGAGGGCTGCGGTGTACTCCGACTCCTCGGAACTTGGGTGGTACATACCATCTGGCTTTCTGATGGGTCGCCATTCTTGTTCATGATGGTGGTGCGCACATGTCAATGTTGGCAGCTTACTATATTCCTCTAGATTGTGCCTGATGAGTTGCTTCTTTCGTCGGGTGGCCATTAAACAGCAGTTGTCATAACTCCAGTCATCCCAGCAGCCTTGGGAGTGAAGATGCTCTTCTACTGGGTCACTCCAGTGATAACTCCTTCTGGGGTTCTCCCGGAATGCCCCCCGACCGTGCTCATGCATGACGGTTTGGATGGCTAGCACAAAATCACTGGCAGCGTTATCGGCTTGGACTCTAGCTGCGTCTGCTGGGGCTAGGGTCAGTAGCCCTCGGGGGTGCTCCTCTGACCTCAGCGGCTTTGGACTTCTCCTGCCAGGGATTGCAATCTCTCTAATCCGACTCTTGGTGGAACAATCCATCGCGGTGGAAACTAAGTGACACTCGGACAGTCTGGCTCCTAGCGCTTTGCGTACAGGAGGGGAATTGATATCAAAGTCTTTATCCAGCTTAATGTCAATGGGTTGCATTACTTTCCAACCACACCAACTGAAGGCTCTGGCCAGAG